AGCTGAAAAGGCAGCTTGTTCACAAGAAATGTTATGATAACAGGCTCTAAAAATTATTATCTGCAATAAGACTGCCTGTAACCTAACAGCTCTGTCTTTGCTTTTGTTTAAAAAAGGAAAAGTGGCGTTGTACTCAATACAAAATTCCTAGTTCACAAGTAGATTGTATTTATCCTGAAGGAAATGGAGTCAGGTTGGGTTGTGTTTTATCTCCCTAGGTAGGAGAAGGCAGGAGGCAGCTTCAATTCATGGTAACCTTTTTTTCGCCTTTGCTATTGTAACATGAGGCCCCTTAGTGACAAAGGCCCAAGCTCAGGGACACACAGTGGGACTCTGGCAGCTTTAGGGGACTTCCCCAGTGCTGAAGTGACTTGTGAAATGGCAGATGTCTGAGGGGAGGAGGGACTGTGCCTAAAGGCAGAAGCAGCAGCTGTGATGTAAACTCCAAATGTTTGTGTCATGGGCAGGGGGAACCCAACAAGCTAATGGTTGTGAGGCCAGGAGGAAAGAATGCCACAATGGGGACAATGGGGAGAAGATGGAACCACTCAAACCAATTTGTTTTCATATTCGCTTGCTGCAGAAATCATTCACTGAGCCAGAAGAGAATGATTTCATGCAGAAGTTGTTGTAAATTTGGTGTATAATCAAAGTTACCCAGCTAGTTACAACAGAAATCACAACACTGAAAGCTCAGAAAATAGCACCAAAGATTCCATGGCAATAGCAGGTTGGTGTGCACTGGGATGGCTTTTGCTCTGCTGACGTTTCCCTTTAGCTCTCAACAAGCTCATTGCTTATTGCACTCCTACAGCATGCGCCTGGACCACCTACGGCTCATTATTAGCTGCTGTTGATCGATGGGTAACGTAGGTAAGGGACTGGTTTATGTGGACAACCCTTCCTGCCCCACTGCTGATGGAACGCAGAAGCCAGCCTCAAAAAAACTTTTAGGAATTAAAAAAAACAAAAGCATAACAGTAAGACTGACAGCATTAGAAATGGCACAGAACTGTTACGGGATGCGATGTTGAAGAGTACCTGCTGCAGGAAGGTTGCAGCTGAAGGGTTGCAGGTAAAATGTGTTTCAAGTTCTCTGATGCCAGGGAGGATGCATGGTGGGAGCTGAAGGAAGTGGAAAACAGTTAAAACAGTAAAAGTGACAAAGTTGGAGAGAGTGGCAGGGAGGGAAGAGGTGTGAGGTATAAAAAAACCCACAACTGACATGCAGTCATTAAAAGAAAATAGACGAACGCCAGGCAAATATTAGCGGAAAAAAAAGTTTATATACTTATTGTATAAAGATTACAGGTAAGCAATTAAAAAAAATCTCTTCCATATATAACCTTTTGGAGGTGTCATTTTAAAAACTAGAACATTCACCTTTCAGCTTAATACAGACATACAACCACGGAGTGGGCAATACCATATGTGAAATGTGATACTGTACAGACATCAATGCATGCTTACACTGAAATGCAAAGAAAACCGAACTTCTGTTGTCATCTCGCCCTGGCTCTGGGCGACGGTTAAGGCTCAGTTACAAACTCACCATCTTCACCCTCTCAACAACAAAAATACTACTGGAATACTTATTTAACCTACTCAGACTAGGACCTACACGGTGCTACTTGTAAACAGAGGTGATAAATCTTCCTGTAACATAAAATGGAGTACAACTCAACATTGTTTGTATTATGAATTTATCACCAATTGTTAATGTAACCTGAGCCCAGTTTTGAAAATTAGTGCTACAGAACTGGGAGCGGGGGAAAGGCCCAGGCATGTATAAAATTCAGTATTTGAATTTATTTTAACTAATACTAATGTGTATCTAAGACTGCTTACAATCCAATGTCTAATGTATGGCTTTTTAAAATAAAACTTGTAACTATCCGCTCAAGGAAGCGTATGTTCTGGGAAGAGACGCAAGAAGTAACTTTAATTTAGAGTGTCACCGAGAACAAATAAATACATTATTCCAGCTGAATTCTTCATTCCAGCTGAAAGGCGGTACCATGTCAGGAAATTAATTTGAAATTAATTTAATGGATGTATGTTGGAAAGGACCTTAAAGATCATCCATTTCCAACCCTCCTGCCATGGACAGGGGAGATGCCTGCAGGTTCTGCACAGTAATGCTACAAGTATATAAAATCTCTGGTTGGCTGGGGTAAAGTTTATAACCTGTCTGTCTCCTCTCAATACCCACTTTTAAAATAAAAGGTCGTGTAGTTGCCCATCATGAATGAAAATGTGAGTTAAAAAAGTTTTGCTCTTAAAGCATCATTGCACATTACAAAGAGGTACGTCAATCATTTCAGAGTACACGCAAAAGGCACTGACTTCTGTTCATGTGGTTAGTAAACTAAAAGGAAAACCACCCTAGAGTAGCATTAAGACAAGACCTAAATCCAGACAAGTAGTGTGTGTTTGCCGTGTTCATGAACAAACCATGACATTCATCCAAAAGCAAGTGCAGTCCATTCTTTTAAAGTTCTTTAGAAAAAGAGAAAAAAAAAATCCCAAAATAGGAAATTTTCTGGCATGGAACAAGTGCAAAAAAAAGTTTGCCAGCTGTGTGAAAGCAGTACACACGCTTGCAGATTCTGCTGTCTCTGGCGACGAGTGTTTTGGGGACGTACCCACCCTGCTTTATTGTGAATGCAAATACCTCCTGGAGGCAGCAACTGCTCCGGCCACTCCGCTCACCCACAGCTTCTGCAAACCAGTGCTCCCGTCAGTCAGCTGGAGGCTGGCTGGGGCCTCCTCCTTGGTTCAGGCAGAAATTGTATTGAAACTTTTCTTCTCCAGTTTTATAAAAATAAATTTAGACTTTCTTCTTCTGTGTAATACTGGCACAAAGGAAAATGTTTTCTCACAAAAAGAGTTGGCTTGTGTGGTGGCCTTAAGACAAATGTTGCAAGTCCTGTTTTCCCCTCTAACAGGGGCTCTCACCTTCCTAAGCTAATGTGCAAAACAGTAACAAACATATTCCAGTCCATATTGTTCTGTAAGTCCATGTCAGTCTGTCCACGGGCCACTGCAAGGGAGGAGAAGCACACCTCTGGCTGCAATCCTCCAAATGCTCATTTTGCATTTCGGCCTCAAATATTGTTCCAAGTTGAATACTGATACACTCCTCTGCTGTGATTCTGTAATACTGGGTGGCAGAAAGGTAGAAAGGTGCCGTTCTTCACCGGTTCTCCTCCCGGGGCCCTGCACTCCCTTCACACTGTGATGTTGCCTGGCCGGTTGCTCCGGCCTCCGCGTTTGGCAGCTCTCAGGAGTGTCAGACTGCAACGGCTCCTCATTTTCACCTTCCCCTTAGCTGAAGCTTTTTTCCGCAGGATGAAATCGAAGTTGACATGGCTGTTCATGGCGTAGAACACGTTGGCGTTGTCCGGGAGCACCAGCTCTGCAAAAGAGTGACCGGAGGAAGCATTAATCTGCAGTATTGCATGTAGCAGAAGGAAAGCCAAGAGAGAACAGGGGCGGGGGGTGACCAGACAGCATGGAGGCAGCTCCCTGTCCTTGTCCTGTCCTGCTCGGCCTCGTCGGCCAAAGCTGCGTGGGGTGGCACCCACACAGCAGTCCCACAAAAAAAGGGGGAGCGAGGTGGCAGAGGAGGGGAGATGGAGAGCAGGCCCAGAGCAAGAGGAGGCTGTCCCAATCTGGGCCCCGATCCCTGGGGAGAGCATGCCCTGGCCCCGACCCCCACAGCAGGCTGGGCCCAGGAAGAGAAAGAGAGTGGCTGCTCTTTGGTCAGAGCTTGTACGAAGGGCTGTCCGGCAACTCGGGAACAAGCTCTGCCTGTGTGAAGTGATACGCTGACAGGGTGTGATAAACCATCCCCGCGTAGCAGGTACGAGGGGGGTTATTCTCGCTGGCAGCTGTGACAACATGTCCCTGACATTTCTGACATTGCGTCACATTTTTCTTTCCTCCAGCAGAACTTTCCAAGCAGCAGCAGAGTTTTCTTCCCTACCTTTGTTCTCAGATATGATCTGCACGAGTTCATAATCCTCGGCTGTGTCAGATTCCAGGTTGTGCTTCAGCATCACCCTCTGGATGACAGCAGGAGTTTTGTCTTGGCTTGTTAGCTTGAAAGAGAGAGTTGCAATGAGAGATTCTGCTTGTTCACTCTATACAATGACTTAATATCCAGCAAAAGCCTGCCTTTCTGCGGGCCGTTTGGTCAGAGAACTGAAAAAATTTGATAGGTCACTAACAGAGTAGTAGGCACTGTTAGATACTAAAACATGGTATTTGTGACATTTGGTGGTGGTGTTCTTTTCGTTCAAGATGACAGACGCTGTACTAGAAGAGACAACAGTAACTCACAGCATCTGATCTCCTCCACAAACACTTTGAGAGGTAAGACATTGCTCTCACTAGCCAGAAAAGTCCACATAAATAACTGCCCCATCTGCTGTTTGCAGATATTAATTAATCTGCACTCTCCCCTGCTAAATACTTTCTTTGAGATCCTGCAAAAATTTTTGGCTTTGTAACGGGGTTTATGGTCTGCTGTGGAAGTGGCTCTGGCTCCCTCCAGAGCCGTGCACGGTCACAAGGAAGATTTGTCACACCAGTAGCCGAATTTATCAGGCCCTTAGGGAGCAGCTCTTTGCCATTTGGGGAGGTCAGACCATTACAATCACAAGGTACCCAAACATGCTAAGAAGTGCCTCTGGGTGTTTGGTGCCCACAGGCCCTGAGGGACCGGGGGGGTTTGCTCAGTGGGGGAGTGTCTGTCAGTTGTCTGCAGAGATGGTGTGCAGGCGAGTCACGTCACCCAGTGCCCAGTGCCAGCCCTGTGCTGCCTTGGCCATTGGCCCGGCACTGCCAGAACCCCTCCGCAGAACCAGCATGTGGGGAAACACCTGGATACTGGTTGCTGCTGGTCTGGCAACGTTTGCCCCAGAGAGAAGCGTAATGAAAGGGCTTGTCAGCCTCCTCCGGTACAGCTCCCTGTTTCCAGAAACCAGCTCCTGAGGAAAGCTTCTCCAGGGAAAACTTGGCACGTGGCATCTTGTGTCAAAACTCGCACACAAATTCCAAGCTAGACAAAAAGCAGCTAGTGCTTGCAGAAGGGCAGCAGCAGAAAAGCCTGCACTCGATCAGGACATTTTGCTTGGAACTTGTTGATAAAATGAAAACTTTAATTTCAAGACCAGAAACTTCCACAAAGATGCTATTCTCAAATCTCTCCTTCATACCACGCTCCCCATATTTTGAATTGTAACTTGTGTCGTTTTCCCTTCCAAGCCAGGTTGGATTAGTTGGCTCAGTGAATAGGTAGGTGTTCTCAAAACTTAAAAGCACCATTTACTTAAGTCATCCTGGATGAAAACACCACCACCAGCAGCAGCATTTTGCTGCTCCACACCACTCACCACGATGCTCTTGTACATATTGCCATTGTCGTCTTCTACGCTGATGCGGATGATGCACATGTCTTCGTTCTGCTGGTTGTAAACTGGGAACAGTGCTTTTGAGGTAGTGGGTGTCACGGAGACAGAGCTCTTGTTGGATGACGGCAAGGTAGAGGGTGAGGTTAAAGATGACACCCCTGAGGAAGATGTCTCCATGGTGGAGGAAGTGAAGGAGGAGGATTCAGAAGATTCAGAGAGCTACACAACAAAAAGAAAGAAAAACACAGTTATAAACTGGACATTTTGTATGTCTGTGTGTATCATTCTGGAGGAAGAACTTGAGAAGACAGAAGGCACATACAAAAACTGCAGCCAGCTACATGCTGCCAAGCAGTCTGGCAGTGGTATTCCCTGCCTCCAGAAAAGGTGAACTTCACTTGACTAATTTCACCATTTTAATGAAAACTTATTTCCTTGCTCTTGCCTCTCCGAAAGAGCAGGCCAGGAGGTGGCAGCAGATACAACGAACAGAATCAGGCTGTGGGCAACCAGCCAGGGAACGGGACGGAACAGAGCACCAGCTCTGGGTGAAAATACGGATACTGCTCCCTGCCTGCCACTTCTCCTTGAATATTCTTTCCTCGATGGAAACTGTCCCCTTCCTTCCCCTGCTGCTCAGGCTTTTACCTTTCTCTTCATCTGCCTTGCTCAAAAACTGCTGTGAGGATCTTCCCTCTCCAATTTCCTTATCGAAATCACTGGAACAACTGCTCCAGCTAAACAGTTTAAGCAATTTATGGATGTCAGTGTCTGGGACCTCGTGCTTCATTTTATTTAAGAACATGTAGTACAATTCAATTTAAAATACCCATAGGCTAAACCCCAACACTCTTCAGCAAAACATCCCTCAAAAGGGCTTCAACAATACAGTTAACACAATTTAGTTCACAAAGGAAGAGCCTGTGGGAAAGACACCCCTGATGTGTGCCCCATCAGATCCCTTCTGCTGGTTTCCTGTCCTTGTAGTTTGTCTCTCTGGCTATCAGCACACGCCCGGCCCATCTGCTCTCAGCAGGATCGCTCACAGCATTAGCGTTATTCTCATTTTGCTGTGGGCTGTCCCAGCTGCCTGTGTGCAGGGTTGTAGGGCTTCGCTTTCTCTGCAAAGCAAGGGATTTGGTGCTGCGCTAGTTCAGGGTAAGTTGCCAGCCCCGCATGCTCAGAGCAAGCAGGCGCGCGGGCGGAGGTGCAGCAGCACCGCACACCAACTTCACCAGCAGAATTAAACTGAGCCAAGGCCAGGTGTTCATCGTGGCAGCAGGGGGGCAAATCTGCAGGGCTGGTGAGCTCTGACCAGCTCTGCCCTTACCTGCCTATCGCTCGGTGAGCTGCTCCTGCTCTGCCTTCCCCAGGATTATACTGTCACTAACGCACGTGAGCTTTTCCACCCTGAAATCAGCTTTGCCAGAGTGCAGGCCCAGCTTTACTGCTGCTAAAGTCAAACTTCCTTTTCCACCTACAGCTGATTGACCATGATGCACACGGCAGCAGGCTGCAAACTGCAGAATAACTCATCAAACCCAAGTTAGACGAGGAGGAAATGACTAGCTCTTGATTTTACTCCTCTTCAGCTGATCCCGGCTCCTGTTTCATTTGCTTTAGTCTGTGGGGGCTTATAAATCCTCTTGTCCACATCATGCTGCCATGTGTTGTGAACGAGCCTAACGCTTGGGCTTTTCGCTGCACTTCCCACAGACTCAAAGGCAGAAACACTGCGAGCCTGCCCCTTCCCACTCAAAAAGCACAACGAGGGACTGAAAAAAGAATTAACCTTGTGCTTCTCCATGGCCTCACCTAAACCAAAACCACCACCAGGCACCACAAGAAAATCTGGTTTCAGGGAAGGAGAATTTCAGTGTGCCTTGTATCTCGGCAACTTAAAAGGCATTGTGCAAAAATGCCGACTGAATTGCTTCCATTTTTCCACATTTCTTTCTTGATCCTTTCCATTACACTAAAAGCAATGCTCTAGTCAAGACCAACAGGCTTGGACAAGTGCCTAAGGCCTGTCTGCAGAGTCAACAGTCTCTCACAAGCTATTTATGTTGGCAACAAGGCCCAGACCATACCTTTTTCTGAGACTCTTCAGGAGTGCCAGCAGGCTCATCGGGAACACCGACGGACTCATTAGGAACATCGGTGGAGTCATCAGGAGTGCCAACAGACTCATCAGGAGTGCCAACAGACTCATCAGGAGCGTCGATGGCAGTGACATAGGAGTTGTCAGTTTCAGAGTGATTGAACTCACATGAGGAAACACTGGCAGAGTCTGTGCTTTCACCAGAGCTCCCACCTGGAGCAGCTTGGGGTTGTTCTTTGATGGGTGTGCTACAGGTTGTGGGTGATACTTCGGAGCCTTGAAACAGTCTAGTATAGAAAAGAAAGCATGACAGTAAGTGAAAGCAGAACAGAGCAGAGCAAAGCTGTCACTTGGCTCAAATCTCTTATGTATTTTTTTATTTTCCTATCTTGAATGGACTATTGTTTTCATTTCCTCCGTGTTGTTTATATGGTTTGTCAAGAGCATGTGTTACACACTAACGCAATACCTCCTTGACCTAGCAAACCCACCAGCTGCAAGGCCAGAATCAGGGCTAATGCCCAAGTATCACAGAAGAGACTCTTCTTCAGTCTGTTGAATTTTCAGACTCACTTGCGAGGAAATGATTGTTTGTAAACCCGATGCATTTCCAAACCAAGGGAGGAGGTGCACGTTAGAGACATGGCAGCTGGCTCCACCTCATGTGCTCCTGCACACTGCTGCCACACCCTGGTGCATCTCACACAAAGCAGCTCCAGACCTACTCAAGACCTACACCATGAGTAAGTGAAACAGTGTGTGAAAGGTCACGCATGGCCAGACACCTGGCAAAGGCCTTCAAAAGGCAAATTCATCCCCACTGCAAATTCTTTTGCTCATTAAAGGTGCCACAGATACCACAGAGACTGTTCTCTCCAACAGTCTGAATGGAGATGTACACACTGAGGAGATCACAAGGAAGTGTAAATCATAGGCTCTCCCTCTCCGAGACTCATTTCTAAATGCAGGTCAAATAAACTTAGAGGAGCATCAAAGGGAACAGACTTGAGGTAGAGAAGCAAGGTGAATTAGATGCCACATCAGCATGCTGTTAATGATTTAAAACAAGTGTCACTGGTGTCACTCACTGTTGCTGGGATGAATTATGCCAGTCTTTTCTACAGTATTAATTTGCAAAATACACTCAGAGTACAGATGAAACAATTCTTTAGATATAGACTGCACAGTGGAAGGGAGACACAAATGAGAGAGGCCACCCAAGAGTTCAGGCACTGAACACTGATTTTTTTTTTTTTATATATCAGAACTCAAAACTCTGGATTGAAAACCTCTATTCTTCTTTCAGACCCTAGCCTGCAGTAGCGTAGACTTGAAGTAAACAGCTACTGGCTATTCTGAGGAAACTAGGTACAAGAACCAAGCAGGGAAGGAGAGCTAAGAGCTGACAGCGCTGTTAAAGTCATCATTTCCCCCCTCGTCTTGAGCATGCCACTGGTATGTGGGAGTCCCTTTATATCTCTTCTTGCATCAGGGTCAAATTTCTCACCTTTAAGATATTTTTACTCCAGGCCTTGATCTCTGCTGTTACTCCCTGCAGCTTTCCTTGAATTGCTGCTGGTCTATCGCTTCCTGTGTCTGCTTAGCTGCATGCCCCTGTTCTCCACCCACCTCCTGTTTGAATCCTTAACAATATTAAGACTAACTTGGACCACATCCTCAGGATTTTTTTCCTTCTCTAACTTGAAGGCAGTTAGACAGATTGTTTCCATTATCAAATGCCTTTTTGCTAACCTTAATTTTCATATTGAAATCCCGCGAGGAATTTTTGCATGTGTATAGCAAATTAGACTAATAACAGGCCAGACTTTCTCGTCATTTACTCTGTTTTGCTTCTACAGTCAGGGAAGTTATTATGCAATAGGTATTGAATCTATAATAGAGCACTAAAACTGTTCCTTTTTCTGACACCTTAGGAAGACTTGTTTCTTTCTAATCTCTTTCATCATTAATAATCCTCACAACTACTTATAACAGTTTCAGGCAGAAGTATGCATTTCTAGCTGATGGTGTCTCCTTAAAGTAAGGCAGTGGTCTGGATCCCCAGCCAAGTTTTTCAGGTGGTGAAATGAGCACTGCTTGTTCAATGTATTCAGGTTTATATTAACACACCAAGTGCCCCTCGCTCTCATACTCACAGGCTGAACCTCTTCACCATGCTTTTCCGATATTTTGGTGATGTGGTGCTAGCGTCAGTGGCTGCTTCAATCTCACGTGAAAGGCTGTAACTGCAGAGCAGAGGACACTGGGTTAATTTTTACAGACAATACTAGTAGTTACGTATCTCAAAATTCGAGAAACCTTCAGTTATCCCCACTTCACAGAAGGTTGCAACCCCATGAAGAGGAACATAGCTCTGTCCACATTTTACCATGGTGAAGGGGATGTTTCACTTCTTTATAACAGTTTTGAAAACTAGTGCTTTCTTGGATGGCATTAATAATTTTATTTAAAAAAAATCAATAAACTATTTAACATGTGAATCTTGGTTAAGCTGACATTTTTTTTACTACGACTCAGTACAATGCACTATGTAACCGTGCTTACACTCTTAGTGCAGCAGAGTGGTATTCAGGTACCTAGTGGAGATATTAAAATGCCATAAATAAATTGCCTTGGGTTGGTCTAGCAGCACGTGCAGTAGCACAGAACTCAGCAGGGCTGCAAAGCCCACCCCAAACACCCAGGAGACATTGATCTGGTGAGTACTCAGTGAGCTCTGCGTTGCCTTGGCTCCCTGCTGCCCACATCCACCAGCCCAACACTCAGCGACTGCATCTTGACGTCCCTTAAGCATGTGTCCGGGCGTACAGACAGCCCAGACACAACAGACTTAGATTTCAAAGTCAGAAGCCTGATTTCCAATCTCAAAACTAAACCCTGCTAAGTGTTTAAGAGGTTTTCTCCAGCTGTTCAGCAGAAGGCAGATGTATTTCCACTCTCCTTGAGCAGGAGCGTGTGTAAGTTCCTGTAGGAAGAGAGCTGAAGGCTGATATAACCTACCTGTGGGGGGTGTGGGGTGGGAAAAGCCTGCTTTGCCAGCTGCACCGAGAACCTACCTCTCATCCTCAGTTAAATTCTGCTGTCTCTTGAACCACTGGATGAATTTTTGGTCTGGTGTCATGCAATAGCTGTTACATGCAGATTGCAAGAGCTTAATTTTGGCAATGACTTCAAATTCCTAAGAAAATAATCAAATAGGAATTCTACTTAGAAAACAAGATAAAGACAAACAGATTCATTCATATACTAAACACATGCAATAACAGATCCAGGGCAAACTTAGTTTGACCTGAAGTGCAGTTTCAGTTGAGTAACTACTTCAAGAAGGGCAATGACTTCAAATTCCTAAGAAAATAATCAAATAGGAATTCTACTTAGAAAACAAGATAAAGACAAACAGATTCATTCATATACTAAACACATGCAATAACAGAAGTGCAGTTTCAGTTGAGTAACTATTTCAAGAAGCAGTTTTTCAAACAATTAAGTCTTTTTTTTTTCCTCCCAGCATCCTAATGTGCATTGAAATGTGAACATTTTATCACACACACACAAATTAGAAGACAAACTGAAGGAATCACACCTCACACAGAGCTTTTCCCAATGTCGTGGTTTTAGGAGGACAGTCTTTTGTTAAACAGCTGGTGGGCTGAGGCAGGGACAGGGAGGGTATCTCCTTATTGGTATTCTGAGCTGTGCAGTTGTACATACAAGGCAAGCCCAAGAAGTGGTTTTCAAAGCTGGGAGCAGCTGAGGGAAGGAAATGGCTCCATCACAGCCAAATCCAAGTCTGCTTTCAGACCCCCAAGTGGAGATCTGGCACTGCTTCATTCAGACAGATGTAACCCTCATGCCATTACTTCTACATAGCTACTTATCTCTGAAAAACAAGGCTCAGGCTGAAAGCAAAGACTGACAGCATTTATATCTCAGTTCGCTCTCTACAGCCTTCTACCTACAATAGTTTACTGCAACAGAAGGACGATGTTTACAAACTGCATTTTCTGGAAAGCAAAGGTCTCATGCCACCAGGTCTGATTTGCTCTCAACACTAAAAATCACAGAACATTCAGCTTACCTTTCGCTTCTTCTCAAAATTTATCAGTCCACCCTGTTGGAAGGAAAGAGAAGGGATCAGAGTAGAAGGGCACATGCTCAGCTGAATTTAATCACAAACAGGAAAAAGCAGCAACACTAATATAAAGCACAGATCTGCCCTGAGCGAGGGCCTTCTAAAAATGCCTGTTTCCAGATCTGCTAAAAACCACAGCACTCCTATGTCCGAGTCTCCAAAGGATAGCTTTCCTCATGGCCTAAATGGCAGTCTGCCAAGAAGAAAAGCCCACTACAAGAACGCTCATGAAAGCTGTGTCAGGATCGGGTCTGAAGAATGCTAGTGGGATTTTGCATACAAGAAACAAATTTGGCTTTTGCCTGTGCTGTGAGTTTAGCCGTGTGCCCGGCGTGTTCCAGAAATACTGACTGAACACAAAGCGTGGACAGAAGGGAAACTGCCAAAAAGAAAATGGACATATAGCAGCCTTATGCAGTCCTGCTTTAATGCACTTCTGCAAAACAAACAACAACCAAACCAACCAGCAACCAGTACCAGCCCAGGGAGAAGTGTACTTGACCATTCTTATCATAAACATCAACACCAGCAGAAGGAAGGTTGAGCACCTGCAGCATGGATCCTCAAGCATCTGCTTTAATGGGGCAAATTGAAACAAACACCTTTGAAAACTGGCTCCATCCTCAGTCTCTGTTAAACAACCAGAGCCTCTTGCAATCCTTTTTTCCTTCCTATGCTAAATTGGTTTCCCCTGCTTGTTCAGCTAAAGAGAAAAAAGTCTTTAATGACTTCAGGGCTCACACACATCTGAGTCAATACTGAAGCACTTCAGTGATCAGTCTGAAGAGCTGAATTCATGGTTCTGTGTATTTTACCAATGATTCACAGAAATCTTTACACCTCAAATGTTGTTTTCAGAAAAATAAAACAGAATAACGCAAAGCCCATTTTCTCACCTAAGAGAACAAGACACAATACAATGCCAAACTTGTCCCTCGAGATAACTGCACTCCAGTTCATACAAGATTCTTATTGCTAATAAAACTGCATATTGCCGCCTCTGTTTTTTTGAAAACAGATTTCTCCATTTTTAAGAACTGCACAAGAATCGAGCAGAAGACACAGGAACAGACACACTCAGTGGCAGCAAGGCAGGGAGGATATTTAGGATTCAAAAAATTGCCCCAAATTACCTCGATATAGTCCTGCAGGGCTGTGTCAAGCATGATGAGATCAGTGAGGAAGGTACCAAGATAAGGTACCGTGCCTTGCATTACTCCCTGCAAATGATCAGAGCAATGTTGGATTAATTGACTGAGAAAACATAATAATTAGAATGCTAGAATACTCCTGTGTAAAAAAAAGAAATAAAAGTAGTCTGCTTAACCAAAGAGCAGCCTTATAAATTGTGTTTCTTTCATTATACCCTCCTCAGTGTCTAATCTAGAATTTAAATCAAATTCTAATGAGCACGAGATGCTCTCGTAGATAGTGCCAAGTGGTTTTATATTACAATCCTGCAATCACACACCGATTCCTAACAGTGGGTCACCAGGAAAACCAGCTTGTGGATGCAGTATTGAGTACCAGGGACAGGGTCCCTTGGTTACCTGCTACAAGAGAAAGCACTGGGGAACGGTCCTGGATCACCTATGTACACAGTACCTCTCTCTGCTTCATTCCAGTGGAGTTTTACTTATTGATACTGTTATAGCATGTGACGGTCAAGTCAAATCAAGTCACAGTTTTTTTCTCCAAGAAGTGACCATCTTCCCCAGCTATTCACTGCATTTTAAGAGTAACCATTCCAATTTTAAACCTTCTAGACTGCTAGCAGTTCTCGAGTTCAGGCTGTTTCTACATTTGTGAAGGAAATACTTGGTTCTACCACCCAAAAGAACCTGTACTTTGTCAAACTAAAAGACAAATAAAAAATATATTCAGCACTTTTGCCTCTCTAGCCCTGTTTTCTCTCCCCCTGTCCTTTTAAATCTCTGCCGTCTTTGAGACAAAAGCCATTTTCACCAGCAGACGGGAAACTGGACACACTGTACAAAGCAATCTCTGTAAAAGTCTGTGCAATTTTCAAGCTGGTATGTCAGAAGCTTCATGAGCTTGTTCAAAAGTCAATGTGAATTCTGCTCTGACCAGAGCTAATTTTCTTTACCACAAGAATCCCAATATTTACATTACATATTTTACTACATGAACGTTGTGTGGCTTTCCCTGTGTTTCTCTCTAAAGGGTAACAAAAGCAGCTAACGGAATTCTTTCTTGATAGAACAGAAACAAGATAGTTGAAAATGATGAGCATATGTTTATATTCATCAATCCTTTCTTACTCTTTTATATGACAGGTTTAGATTTGAAACTAAGGCCAAACCCTTTGCTCAGCATCCAGCCCAAATAGCTGGTTGGGATGTGAAGCAAATACAAGTGGGAAGGGGAGCAGCACACCTATACACCCACTGATCCCCTAGCAGGGGACAGGAGAAGATTGGCACCAGGCAACAATAACCCCTGCGTACATCCACTGGATCCTGAAATCGTTGAGCATTCTCAGCATCGGACCACGGAACACGCTGGCTAGGCTGATGCTTTGCGTATCCACTTCCTCCAGCACTTCAGCATGCAGACGGGCGTTACCGGAGTGAAAGGACAGCGGGGTTGCACTGAAAACCTTGGCAGCTCAGTGTGGGCTATACAGCACGTGCTGGGTGCAGCACGAATCCCCCTTTGCAATTGTTCCTGTACACAGATGTATGCATGTGTGGGATTTTATATATATATATATATATATGTGTGTGTGTGTGTGTGTGTGTGTATATGCACACACATTACCTGCTTACTATGATCCACACCATAAGGGAAATACAGCTTTGGGTGTATATTTGCAGTGACATACGTTCCAACAGCGTATTCAGTCTAAACCTTTCGGTTCACTTGCTTTGTATCAGCTAATCAACAGCATTGATGTGATTGTTTTTCTTTACAGAGGGCACATTCAAGGGCACTACCTACTGCACACTCACTTTGTTAAATACCTTTCTAGATTTTGCTGCTTACATAATTCAACAATTATGGTTAATCATGTTACCAGTTCAAAAAGGGGAGGAAAGGACCCCAAACACACCATATCTTTTTGAAGCTGCAGTCGTCTCTGGGTCCTTTTCTGATTTTCTTTCACACTGCTGTCCAGATTCGCAAATTTGGATGTTCCTTCCTGTAAGGGAATTAAAAGGCAATTAATGCAGGAGCTAAGTGGTAAGTGGGCAACTATGTTTGTGTAAACTAATTGCAAATACATTTAAGGCAATACATTTTACATTTAAGGCAAGCGAGGCCAGCAAAAATATTTGCTGTGCAGGTACATGCAAGCATACATACGCGTGCTAATTTTCTGGGACTCATACACCAAAATTGGACCATAAGGGGATTTTTCTGCAAATTAGCTCTACTCCAGCCAAAGCTAAGTGCTGTTGAAAATCTCCTGAGATTTTAAATCAGAGAAGCTTAGATATACTTCAGGTGTCCAACCAAATGCTTCTCTGAACTCTAATCTGGATACTCTTGACCTCAGGATTTCTGTTTAATTTCCTAATCAGGACTGCTACGAGTAAACATCTCTATCTTATGTAATGCTTTTTCTTATGCCACAACACAGAGATCCAGCACCTATCCTCAGTGGCTTATTGACTAATCCAAAATCAGGCAGGAAAAGGAAGTAATAGGTTTTAGTCTCCACAATTCAAGCTTTCCTATGAATGGATGAGCTATTTCACAACCAATCTGTAGCCTTTCTTTCCCTGGATCTATATGGGATGCTAGGAGTGACTGTTATTTTTTCCAGTGGTTGGATAGATGGGGCACAAATCATTATCATTTAAGAGGCACAAAACATCAGCCTGCACTTGTAAAGATCCTCTCATTACAGCATTTACTTCCCTCAGTCACAGTTAATGACCAGATCACTCAAACTGTATTTCCTTCCTCGGCTGAAAAACAGGAGCAGATGAAAAACGAGTGTTGTCTCCATGTCTTCAAGATGGCAAAAGTAAACTTGAGATTCCCTAACAGCAGCCAGCGAGCAGGCACAGAAGCTAAAACTGAAGCTCTCAGCAGAGCCCTTGTTTGGGGAGGTGAGAACACAGTGCTCCTCCTCCGTGCTGGCCAACGTGTTTCATATGGCATTTTGTCTGCTCTGCACTTAAATTTGCAGGATAGATAGGCAAGGTCAAACACGGCTTCCCCAGAGAGCCTATTTATAGCGAAACAAAACAAAGACATTAAGGATTCAGTGGACATTAGTCCCCCAATCGTTACAAAACAATCCAATATGAGAAGCAGGAGAGAGGTTCTAGCGATTCTGTGGAATTTTTCTCCTCTCACTGCTTTCAGAATGTTTTGCAAATCTCCTTATGGCAGCTGGAGAGAGTGATTTGCTGAGAGCCAGGTCTGGGCTCAAATTGAGTTGTTTTGTCTTTTCAATATTTAGTTTAAAAAGCTGTTCTGAACACACATTTTCCCTCTATGTTTATTATTGTCTCACCTGCTTTAAAATTTAGCTACTGCTGTTAATAAATGGAAGATAAAACAGACTGACAGGTTTGAATGTGTTCACCCATCATTCCCGAGCAAAACACAGTTTCGGATACCAAGGCAAGGGAGTAAGGTACAAATGCCAGATTGACTGGATAGAACTGCCAAAAAGTAAACTTGCTGGCCAGTTTATAGAAACTTTTCTATGGAAACAGAAAAAATCTGCCACAAACATTCCTTAAGTTTTTACAGAATATAACCTTTCCCTTCTATTCTTCCTCACTCCTTTCAAGCTCTTGAGCTTGTTGGGGTTTGCCCAGGAGAGCGCACAAGTCAAACCGTTTCAGACAGAGCCTGCTTTGTTGTCCATCTGGCCACACACAGAGCAGGAAGCCTGTTCCTTTGAAATTCCCAGCCCTGTTTTCTATTTCTGAGAAAGGTGAGGGATAGTTGGATAAACATCTTGGTTTAATTCCTCAGCTGAAGCTAAGTGGCATTGTTCCAGTGAAGTCAAAAGCACTACAGTGGTGCAACCCAGTTGAGAATCTTGTTTGGAGTTGCTCTGCTCTCATGGGTGCAAGCCTGAGCCTTTCCAGGGCTGCTCAGAGGCTGCAGTGGTTCATCAGTCTACGCAGAGCAGTATAAAGCCAAAGTGTTATTTCGTACCTCATCCCTGTAAAATGACACTGTGCAGCACGTCTTCACTCTGGTTGTGGCTCCAGTGCTATCACAGGTACAACACGGTGCACCCTGCTATTCTTGAGCTGGACATCAGCGTGCCCAGAGGAGTTCAAGGGATCCTGACCTGCTCTCTTGTGACCAAGGCCACACAGAATCTGCGCTGCTGCAGCCTGCTGTGTGTGGGTATTTGCGCTCAACAGGCTACTGCTAGTGCAGGTTCTTTCAGGAAGAACAAAATCACCTCAGACAGCAGTTCAGGGGGAGATGAGCTTTGGCAGCCGGTTAGAAAAAGGGCTACCCTCAGCTCTGGTTGAGATCACAAGCCTTGCGACCCAAGCTAATTCTCACCTTCATTAGCAGCTCCCTGCTTGTCAAATAATTGTCATGGTCCGAGAAGATATCAGACAGCTCTTCGAATATCAGCATTGTGTCCCTGCACAGGAAAAGATTAAATCATTGAGGTTATTAGTAAGCACTCCAAATCAGATGAGATTACTATTTTTTCTCATGAATCGGTAACAGTTGGGCATATAAAGGATAACACCACCAATATGCATCCAATGAGATGCTGCACATCTACTAGGAACCTTCCTAGAATCTTCTGGTACTCCCAGTAAAGTCAGGCCTTATATGACAGCATCACAAATAAATGCCATAGGTATGCAGACCCCAAGCAGGGTTTTCAATCGCACCACAGGGTATGAGATTCTTGTAAGAAAGTGGATAAATGGGTACACAGGAACAGAACAATAGCTGTGAGAGATATCCTAAGCACTTCATTTTTGCCCTGTTCCATGCACTTGGGAAAGCTCAGAGCATTTAAGTGTACAAGTCCCTCCCTATTCCCCACTACTATAAACACAAGACAGCAAGATTTTGATCAGGAACAGGAAAATGGGGCAGCGGAAGGAAAAACCCACCTCTCTCTGGGGGAAACACAGAAGTATACTGCGTGGCAGAGTGAGATTTTTCTTTATCTAAGGCAAAGGAAAGAAATCTACTCTTCCCAAGCTGGACGAGAAGAACACTATCTTTCTACACAGAGATTTCTGGTGTCTGTTTGGCGTGCAGTAAATATGTCAGCTGCACAAAAAGGTATTCCCTGCAAGAAACACTGTCTTCAATACAGAGTTGGATTTTGTATTTTGGGGATATATTTTAAGGAAATGTCAGGACCAGGACAGAATTTAGTGAGGGTTTGTAGCAACCTGGACCTCTTCCAGCTTCACGGGAGAGAAGACAACATTCAAATATCATGGTGCCCTTTGGGTGACCTTCTGAGAACAGTGTGCATGAGCTAGGCAAGTAGCTAGTCCACAGTTTTTGAAAATAGGTTATGGAAGATCCAGTATGCTATAAAGGACAGAAGAGACCTAGTATCCCCGAAGGCAGGTTGTCCCCTCAATATGAAAGAGGAGCTCACAGCAGTCAGACCAAAAATAGGAGCTTGAGCCTCACAGGAATGAGAGGTTCTTCTAAGAGAACAGATGTCCATGAGGGAGCAGAATAGGAAGACTGAGAAGAACACGATTAAAAGAAAGAGCACTGAGCCTTTTGCGTTTGTCTGGGGCTACCACCGGAGCGGAGGGGGAGGCTTACTTTGGAACACAGGCCCACGTCTTCTTCAGCCGATAGATGGAGTTGGACTGCAGGGCTGAAATGATGGCCTTCAAGGAGGAAAAATTCTTCAGGATCCTACATTCCTGTGAAAGGAGTGGTTAGAAATACAGGAGCATTAAATGTCAGCGTTACAAATACGTTAGTACTCTGCTGTTTGACCGGTGTCATGCTTGCTACACATTCTCACTGCTAAGCAGGCAGCTGTACAAATACTGAGCATCAAAAATCTCACTCCCCCCTCCAGCCACAAAACACTTTATGGGCTTTGGCATGTATACCTTGTTTTCCTCACTTTTATGTATTTGGGGTGATGTTGCAGTGTTACAGTTTCCAATTCTCCTAGTAAAAATAAAAGGTGAACTGAGTTCATGAAGTCAGGCTAAAAAGCACAAATGTTACACTTGAAAAGCTCTTTATGGTTACCAATCCCCTTTAGCCTTTAGGGGAAAACCCAGGCTTTGCCTCTTTGTATGTGGTATTTAAAATGTAAACCCTCAATCATCTAAGTGACAATATAGACATGCAAAGGAATAACCTGTTATTCAAGTATGTGTTAAAGAGAAAAACCTTCCCAGCTTTTACAAAGCTGGGATCAAATCCTAACAGAGAGACTGGTTCATGAAGATTTCTTACGCAGCTTCCCTGTGGCAAAAGCTTTGATGGAAAAGGATACTGAAAAACTTAATCCTCAAAAAAACCAGCACACATTCCTGGTCAGGCAGATAGAAGCAGGAAGAAAGGGGAAAGTCTGGCCTGTGACTCTTCAAGGAACTCAAGGATGGCCGAGCCCAGAGAGTCGTGGT